AAAAAAAAAAATACAAGAAGACCTAGCTAGGCACATCAAATTTTGCAGATGATACGATAGTGAATACAGCTGTAAAAAAGTTACAAAATATAGTGAAAAATAATCAAGGTATAAATAAATAGTTAAATTAAATACCACGTAATACTGTATCTTGTCACGAGTGATTAAATCGCTGACACTTGTTCTATATTAATTAGATGGGCATTACTTTATTTTATTTTATTTTATATATTTATTGACCATAATGTGAAGCCTGCTTGTATTCTTGTACTATAAATATAATAGCATTATCACCTCAAAATTAAGGGGCTATCACCAAAATTAATAGCTTCTCTAACATAAGTTGGACAGCTTAATTAATTAGCTTCTTAATTATAGATTTTTACATTTCAAATATTAAACATTATTAATTATTAAGGTATGGATGTGAAGAGACTAGTAATGAATGCAAGAGTACCGCTCGGGATGCTGGCGGTACAAGTGATAACAGCAGGGCTGCAAATACTCTCCAGGGTTATAATTAGCGAGGGGACGTTTATTTTTGCTCTCATGACTTATCGCCATGTTATTGCTGCTCTAAGTATACTTCCCTTTGCTCTTTTCTTTGAAAGGTTAGCTTAACTAATAATACTATATACTTGTTTTTTTTTTTATTTTATATTTATATATTGCTGGTTCTTTTNNNNTTTTTTTTTTTTTTTTTTACTATCATATGAAAGAATGTTTTGTATCTAATTATGGGGAGATTCGACGGTCCCCCGTTAAGGAACCATTTCATTGGGGTTTATAACCGTTAGATCAACTATCCACGATGGTTACATAATGATCTAACGGTTACTAATCCCAATATAATGGTTTCGTAACGAGACTATAGTATTTCTCCCAATCATTTATGTTACTTTTACATATATTTATATAAGAAGATGCTACGGTTCTGTTACGGAACTATTCCGTCGAGGTTTGTTACCGTTAGATTAACCATCTCTGACGGTTACATGATGATCTAACTGTTACAAACCCCGACGGAATGATTCCATAACGGGAGCTTAGCATTTCCCATTTATATATATGTGTCATTTTTTTTAATCATATAATTATTTGGCATCCTAATTATGCAGAGGTGCTTTGAAGAAACTTACCTGGGCAGCTTTCTTCTGGCTTTTCATGGTGGCACTAACTGGGTAAATTAAGAATAATTTTGAAATAACAATTCGATTTTTTTTTTTTTTTTTTTTNNNNTTGAATTATGTAAAAATTCATATATACATGAATTATTTGTGCCTATATACTAAGTCTGACCTCGTGAATTATTAACATATAATTAAATCCAGGATATCTTTGGCGATGGGACTATTCTACTATGGACTGAAGGACACGAGTGCTACATATGCTACTAATTTTCTAAATCTTATTCCTGTTGTAACCTTCATTTTTTCAATAATTCTTGGGTACGTATATGAGTAATCTAAATTAAATTTCGCATATACTCCCTCATGTTTTTAACAAGTGTCGTTTTGAATAAGCTGCACAGTAATTAAGAAATTTTTTTATCAATAATAACCTTCATTAGAGAGGATAGAGATAAATATTTTGAGAAAAGATGAATAGTGAATATGAAAAACGTAATATGTATTTATTAGCTAGATGAGGCCCGTGAAGATAATAATAGATATATATGTATAAAAGATCCAAAAAGTCATTTATTTAGTTAATTGTTGATAAAACCAAAACGATATTTTTTTTTTTTTAAAAAAAAAGGAGGTAGTATATGTTAAATCAATTTATATCACAATTATATTTATAGATTTAATTAGTTATAACTAATAGTAAAGTTATTTATATTTGTTAATTATAGGGTGGAGAGATTGGGACTCAACACAATGGCCGGCAAGATCAAAACTCTTGGGGCAATGCTATGCCTTGCAGGGGCATTGACAATTACTCTCTATAAGGGAAAATCATTCCATCTTGGTCATTATTTTAAACACGAGTCAACAATCATGATCACAACCGATAAACACATGACACGTGGCACGATCACATTGGCCGCGAGCTGTTTGTCCTATGGCATCTGGTTTATTCTACAGGTAACAAACAATTTTAATTAAAAAACAAATCAAAAAAAATAAAAAAAATAAAATAATTGTGAGTTGACCTAACCGTTAGACGGGTGAATCATTTCACTTTACAAACTATAATTGTGTCTAATTGTTATGCTTGTTCAGAACAACCTTAAACCTTAACAAATAATATTTTTATTTTTATATTATATTATAGGTGAAGCTATTCAAAGTATTTCCGTATAAATACTGGGCAAATTTGTTGACATGTGCCATAGCGTCGGCCCAAGCCGCCGTGATTGGGCTCTTCATGGATAGGGACCCAAATGCCTGGAAATTGGGCTTGAACCTCGAGCTTGTCACTATTGTCTACTCGGTAATTAATTAATTAAATTAAATTAATTAATCAATTAATTATCTTAATTAATATTATACAGTACTCCAATACTACTAAATTATGTTAATTTGTACAATTTTCTTCGATAATAGGGAGTACTTGCCACGGCAGCATCCTTTTGTTTGATCTCGTGGACCATCACACAAAGAGGGCCCACATACCCTTCAATGTTCAACCCATTGGCCCTCATTATAATTGCAATTGCTGAAGCCATTTTCCTTGGTGAAAAAATCTCGGTTGGAAGGTACCTAAAACTCATACACACACTAAAGTATACCATTTTATAAATTATCATAAAAACATGTTTATATTGCTTATATATAAACAAATGATAAATGTTTGTATTTGATGCATAGTAATTTGTTAAATTTGCAGCTTGGTGGGCATGGGTTTGATTATCGTGGGATTATACTCGTTTTTGTGGGGAAAACGCAAAGACATTAAAGCAGCTTTGCTTTCGCTCAAAGGCGGATCTTTCGATGCTAACAAGGCCGGTGCAGATATTGAGGATGGCTTGCCGGAAGTTGTCGAACCACAATTTTCGGTCAAGGTGGTCCTGGCCGATTCACACGACGCGAACTAGCTAGATAGCTAGCTAGGATATATATTTTTGATAGAGAGAAAGAACAATAGTTAACTCCATATTTCGTATTACAAAATCTTAGTCATGTATATTATTGTCTTCTTATTTCTCAATTTTATTTTTATTTTTTTTGTACTAATGAAGGAAGCTTCTTTGATTCATTGCCGAAGATAAGGCAAGTACCGAATGTTTTCTCTTCTTTTTTGTCAAAGAAGATATTAGTACGGAAGAATTGAAAGTTACATTATGTTTAATATTGAGCCTAGTTAAACTTGACTGTACTGGCCCAAAAGCCCATTTATCATATCATGAAATGAACAAGATCCACATTGGGCCACTAGTTCCTGACATGTAAATTCCAAGATATATATTTGTGGAACGAAACTATTTTAGTTTAGGGCTTAGACACAAGATTTTTCTTTGAAATAATTACCTCGTATATAACCAATCATTTTTTGAATGACATAAAATTTAACCTACGTTTTTATTTCCATAAATTAACCCTTATTTTTCTCACTTTTCCATATAATAGTAAGAAGGTGATTGTTTATGGTTTGTACATTAAAAAATTAATCAAAACTTAAATTCAACTAAACTTTAATCAAACTTCACTATCTCCTATATTATCAATATAATTACATAATATCAACAATTATTCTTACACATCACATCAACTTTAATTCACTATTCATCTATTTACATAGTTTTAACTAACTATCACTTCCAATTATTTTTTCCTACTTTACATCAAATCAACTTTAATTATTACATTTAAATATTATTCTAATATATCCACTAGCAGCTAATCATACACATTTTTTAAAAATTACCTATAGTTAAAAAACAAACCAAATGGAAGGAATAGAAGGTCATGTTGATAAGTTATTCTCCAGTAATAGATGTCTAAACATTGTAAATTATACACGTGGTTTTTTACTTTTTTGTTCTAAGAAAGCCAAAAAAAACTTGCACATAAATTGTCCAACAAACTTTGAACCAAAAATCACACTATATTTTTTGCTTGCAACAAACTTTAGCAAACTTTGAACCAGCAAAACAACTTAAGCTCTATAAATTATTTTGTAATACACAATAAATGTGGCTTCTTTTTTTTTTCTCTTTTAATGTTGCAACAAACTTTAACAAATTTGAT